AAAGAAGCAGCTTAGGAAGTTTCCGCGGAAACAGTTTACGATGATATTCATTTGGCGCCCAGTTGCTCGCAACTTCCTCGCGGCCGCGGAGCGCCTTCCGCGTTTGCAAACAATTTGCGTTCGACCGACGGAACTTGGCAAGAAACCTTTTTCCCTCCAGCCCCTCGAAGAATGCCTCTGCTCGATATTTAAGTCGGTTGCAGGAATCTTCCCTCCATTGAGACCGGTCGTGCAACTTTGAATTCATTCTGTCCTCATCCGATAGCGACGGAGTTCCGCGACTCGACAGAGTCCATGATTCAATGAAAAATACTTCTCCCGAGGACGAGAAGGGAGATTCGTGTTCCCGTCGAAGCGTCGCCTTGTCAAATATAAACGCGGGAATAATTGCTTTCGTTGTTTGCCACGATCCCGTTGACGAATCGACCCCGTAACTTCCCCCGATCCGTCAACGGGAACGATCGACCAATCGTGCGCTTCATTAGGCTTGTCGATTTCTATTACATCACTTGGCTCTGATGGAGAACGATGGAGGTGCGGTGATGTGTTGTTTAACGGGCTGATTTCTTCGTTTACAGAAGCGATGGAGTAAAGTAATAGAAGCATAATAATTATTTGTATAACACTCGATGGACTAGGCGATGATTTTCTAGAATTTAATTGTTTTTTTACGGGATAAAATGTGGTTTCTAAAAGAACTAACAGAGCTAGACAAAAATGTTATATACAAAAATGTTTCAGTTTGTTACAAGGAAAAATGTAACGTAAGTGAAATCTATACAAAATTACAGGTAGCGCCACTGTAACTGGAAAACCAATTTTCTAACTAATACTTCGTGCATAGTAAAATTTCTCTCGTTGAAAATGAACACAACACGCAAACACAATGAACCCCACCGTAGGTGAAAATTGAGAAAAGTAATTATACAGTGAACAATCACACCAGCACGTGAAAAATGAATAAGCTTAACCTGTTTTTCACAATCTGCCCCAAAGTCACGTTTTCGAGTAACGTTTACAGGATTCCGTGCTTACTGCGAGATTAGAGGACACGGAGAAACAGGTCTGCCACGACATCAGACACGGAAGAACGAACTTGTATCGCAACCGTTACATCCTCGACTGGAACCGTAAGCGGGCGGAAGTGTTCTGAAGAGATTCGAGCAAAATGGGAGACTCTACCGGCACCGAAGGTTGTTAGTATTTTCCCAACAATTACACAGACGCTGGCTTATCGCTTCCTGTTGCCGCAACGAGAACAAAGACTGGATTCTTCGAGCCGAACCTCGGCTTCGTTTGCAGAACAAGCTGCAATTTTTTCGAAAGCCCGTGGCAAACGTTCTCGATCGCCGAAGTTGCTTTCTCGTCGTATATTTAAGGGATACCTGAAAAAAATATTCATTCGTCAGTCGCAATATTTTAATGTGTTAAGTCTATGTAGATGGATATAGAATGATTTTTATTTATATAGTTGGATTCGTTAAGCAATTTATGATTCAAGTATTTAGAAATTAACGTATGTATTTGGATTTAATACACTTTGGATTTAAGCACTTTGACACTAAAACGTCATGTATTTAAATATTCTAGAATAAAGCATTTTAACACTGCAGAATTCCATGTCTGACCACATACGTCTCAATACTACTCCCCTAGCACAGCCTAATGTCTGACCAAAGCAGACCGCATTCTACTTTAAGCCTTAAACTTACAATTTCCGAAGTAAGATTCCATTTCAGACCATCTTGGCTGCCCTTAGACGAATGCTCGAGTTCGGAAAATTTTACATACAGCATCAGGCCTAGTATATAGAGAGGCATCGACAATTTCAAGAACGCGTGCATCGTCTGGCTTCGCGACGAAGATTGGAGCACACTCGCAGAAGGAACGAACGACTTTTCGAGTTTCCCGTTGACCGAGCAATATCATCTAGCCAGCGATCGCGTATTGCAGGGTCTGCTTCCAATTTCCGGCTCCGTGCCCGGTACAAAACTAATTTCGCCCTGGATTTATAATGTCCGCCCTCTGTCACGTCGCCAATCAGCCTTTGAGCCCGCGTCGCTTCAATCAGACACCGTAACTACTCTTTTTTTTTTACGCCCGTCCGTGTAATTTTTCGCAAATTGGACGTCGCTGTTCGTGACGAGCTTTTCCGCATTTCATCGAAAAATTATGGAGTCGAACATTCATTCCAAATAGTTTAACGAGCATATGAATGAAATACCACATATCAGTACCATAGGTTAGATTTAAGTGTGTAAGTGATTAATTGTTTTTATTTGAAGATAAAGTTTCTTGTATATTGTATAATAAATGCATCGTGCCTTACGCAAGTGTTGCAGTTTGAAAATGAACTTTACACTGTCTTCTATTATTATTTAAATGTATTGCTTCATGTAATTTAATAATAAAAAATCATTTGGTGGGCAACTTGTGCATGACTTTCTCGTACAATTAAAATGGTACTATAGAAAAAAATGCAATAGGATAAATCAATCTGTACCTATAGATTTTACGAAAAGAACAAATTAGACGGTTAGCAGTTTAGCTAATGCCGCGGCGGCTGCTTTTATTAGCTTCCTAAGACGTATTAACATCCGCCATTCCAACCACGTAGCCCGCAGTATTACCCTCGTCAGCCCTTAATCCGATATATCTCCCCGGAGGTTTCTCTCTTACAATTAGAAAGGGGAAATGACCGTTAAATCCATCGTTTTGAAATCGACAAATGTCATTAATAATCTACCCCCCTCCCTCCGCGGTGCTTTACTCGGTGCACAGTATTGTTCAAACACTCCTCTGTCTACCTATTCTGTTCGACTCTCAACTTTCGCGAATCAACTCGCAGCGTTCGACTCGTTGAACTCAAACAATACCTGCCCCAAATTCGAATAATAATTCTACCTGTGGCAGGGCAATGTTGGAGCGGGAATTTTATCTATCGCGGGTGCATTTAACTTGCATGCATGCATGCATGCGGTTGTTTATTCGAAAGTAAGCAACTCTCGAATTTAAAGAATTAAATATTACACGTGGGAATTGGCATTTGAAATATTTTGGTATCAAAGTATTTTTGGAGTCAGAGTATTGGACATTGAGGTATTTTAGAATAGAAATAATTTAATTGCGAATCGTTTTAAAAGCAGAGCATTGTCTTCTTAAATCGACATTTCTATAGATAGAAATCTACTTCTATTATTTAAAGAAATCAAGAATGTTTGTTGGCTGTAATGGAAGAGTGCGCTGGTGGGGGATTAAAGAGATTAACGTGAGTTTCAGGATCCGAGTCGGTGCATCACGTCGATCACTCGCTTTGCCAGTGGCGCGGGAAAGAATTCCGCAGAGCGTAGCCATTTTCCTCGATGCGAAATAGCCCGAGCCGACGGGGGAAAAAAGTGTGTCGTAAGCGGTTATTCCGCTCGAATCGGCCGTTGGAACCGTAATTTTCGGATGGGGGCGGTTATTATCAAGAAAAATTAGCTTCGCCTGAAAGAATCCGACGAAGCTAAGCGCCGAGTGTGCGTACGTACACATTTCGTCAAATCGACTCGGGTGGAAACTGCCACAGAGATAGAAGACTCTTCCTTAAAAGTTTATTTGGCACTTTGGACATTAACGAATTAGAATTTCAATTTTCAGGCCCAATACCTATTAACCCCTTGACATACAATGATGAATTAGGGTCGCCTATAAGATTAGTATTTAGTTTTTGGAGCAATTAAATCTCTCTTGAAAAGAGGGGCACAAGCTTTTTGGTTTAAAGGCCGCGATCGAAATATAAAGACCATAGTTAACGCGCAAGGATGCATCATTTTGTCCTCTCGAACATGAACACGCGAAGAACGTACATATTAATCTCAGCGTAGCGAGAACTGGTTATCCAATTGCACGCAATTCCAGAGTTTTTCGAGTCGGTTATAAACTCGGCCGAGGAGTCCATTTGATTTATTAAATATGCTATCTCGAGGATGCTGGGGGATGCTCGAAGGAACTCCGTAGACGCCCGGAGCGCGCTACAACCGAGGAAAAATATGCTTAAATCAAGCATTCTCCGGTTGGCAAAAAACCCCGTTCTGGGAATATTAATGTCGACGCCGTGAAATTTTTCCACGAAAACCGCGATGGAACGATTCCTCCAGGCGGAGAAACATATTTCCCAAGCGAAATTTCTGTCCACCATGATAGGTAGAAAAAGGGATTCCTATCAAGAAGAATGGCAATCACCCAGGAGAAACAAGCAACGTTAATTTGAAGATTTTTTCCTGACCATATCGAATGTTCCGTACGAGTGTTTGATGCGAAGTGTCCTTGTAAGATGCTGTTCAGATTTTTTTACTTGCGTGGTGGAATAATTTTCTTCGGTTTCCATAGTTAAAATTTAATTTAAAACGATATCTTACTCGTCGTACGTACTCACTTTTTTAAATATTAATTTCTTATTAAATTATTGCCATGCAATTGATCCCATTTTTGCAAGAAATCACACGTACATCTTGTTCCTAAAAATTGGTTTGTCATTTCTGAAAGAATTCAAACGCATTCAAGCTTATTTTGTTCCCTATGCATCGGACTTTAACCTATCAACATAGAAATATTACAATTCAAGTAAAGTCCTATTAAAATTTCAGAATCACCAAAGCCACTTAAATATCGCATTCTACGTAGATTTCGATCCTATAAAGAAACGTTGAGGGTCCTTGTTGTAGCAGAAAACGCTTAAAAAAGAGTGATCGGTCGCGAATAAATTCGTTAAAGCCCCGCGTAACTCGAGTAATCTTCATTTTTCAACGAGCGTTCCGCAGGCTACCGTTTATTAAAATAGCGAGATTATTGGAGTTGCTTCTAGTGGGACACCCTGTACACTCCCTCGTCCAGGAGCATTTAATTAAAATGAAATTGTTTTTGTGTTGCAATTTCATCCGGCGCGTAGACCTTTCGCCTACGTAACGAGGCAACTTCCATGAGGAATCGGCTTTAATTAACTTAAATTTATTATCCAGGCGAGACAGAGGGACGAGAGCGAGAGAGCAGAGTGCTCGTAGGAGAAGCCAGAGCGAGAAGGACGAGCAACAACGAGAGAGACAGAGGGCCAGCACTCTGGGACCGAGAGAAAACCGACTTGCGTTTCACTTAGGAAAAAAAACACCTTAATTGTTCTTTATACGCTCGCGTCGCCGAGGCTTTCTGGCCGCAGCTTGGAAACTTCGTCCTAATTCTTCTGTCGGGACGTATTCTTCGGCTCCCCTAGCAATCTCCGGGTTTCTCTTAACGTAGAACCAGAATAAATTTCGATACTTACTGGTTTGTCACTGAGTGACGAAAGACGACAATGGTTAAGAAACGATCACAAAGCGAGGAGAAAGGATAGTATATGCGTGATATGAAATTGAGAGGGAAGGGATAGGGAATTGAAATTTAAATGAGACCTAAGAGAAAACTAATCTGAAAGTTAATTAAGAGAAAATCAACTGAGGTGAGGTATTCGATCAATAAATAAAAAGAACGAAATTATTAGAACAGGAATGAATGAAGGAATGTACAAATAAATGTATGTCAAGAAGAAACTGAATAAAATAACTGATGTGTTAAATATCACGTGTTTTCTTACCGTTAACCTGTACCTTCACTGATGCGAGCAATGTCTCTACCAGAAACTAGTGCACCGAATAAAATCTTACTAAATAACCTGTACCGGTTTCGATGCACCGCAAACCCGATCGTCAAATGTGGCGACGTTACCAGACTCCAGAAGACTTCCGTTCGGAGGTCCTGTTAGGGGATCTTCCCCAGGGATAGCCAGGATGGTCATGGTTCGCGAAAGCGGGGCCAAAGTTTGGTCGTTAGCAGAGAAAAATGTTTGCACGGATAATACGTGGGCCCCGTCGGCCGCAGCCTGCGCTAACTCAATTATCTTCTCTATGAGGCGCGCGTGTCCGGCGATTTATCTAATTTAAAGTTTCGCTGGCTAACGGTGAGCAGAGTTCTCCGCGAGACAATTAGGTAGGCGATTTCGTCATGGACCAACTTTGATCGGAACACCGTGAAAAATTCTCATAGGCCATAACTGACGCGGGGAAAACTATGGGGACTGGGAAACTCCAGATCTAATCTTAAAAAAAAAAAAAAAAAAAAAAACATAAGAGAGAGTTCGTTGAGCTTCCCGAAAGGAAAATTTGGGAAAATGAGGCGTTGTTCAATGGCGTAACAGGCATGCGAAGTTTCTTGAAAATTAGAGATAGTTAATTGGATGATTGTTCCTTGTTAGGTGCAGGTCTAGTACGAGTCACTACTACTTTTCAGGTTTCCAACCACTTGAAATTTAACTTGCATTTGATTCTGTGTTGGAATATAAAAGGAATGATAGTAATCGTAGTATTTAGTCAAAGAACGTTGTTCTAAAATTTTCAGTTAAACTATCACTGACCAGTATGTCTGACCTAGTACGAGTCAATACTACTTTCCAGGTTCCCAATCACTAGAAAACTTACCTACATTCGATTTTGTGTTACAATGATATAAAGGAACGACAGTAATTGTAGTATTTTTCCAAAGAACAGTATAATTATAGTTCAACTGTCACTGACCAACATGTCTGGCCAAGTACTGATCGCTACTACTCGCAGAACTGATTTCCCAAGCTCCCATCTTCAAGTCTCGCCTAAATTTAATCCTCTATCATAATCTAAATTGTAAATAGGGAAACATTATTCACACTATTTTCCCAAAAAGAATCCAGACGTTCTTCTTTAATTTCCCCGTCACCCTGCTCCTTTAATCCTTTTACCCATGGCTCAATCCCTGAAAGCATTTACAAACCAATTCCCTCCTCGTCGATTGCTGCTTTCATTTGACCAGAAGTCGCTCAATTCGCGGAAGGAAAACAAACATTGACGTCTCGTTCTATCAACGATGAAAGTCTTTCAACTTTCGTTCACCTCCTTGAACGTCACGATACCTAACCCCATGGTCTTCTTCCTGTTGTCTCGCCGGTTTGCTCCTTTCACCCTCTGCGTTCACGAAATTTACCGCTCCTTCTGGTCGATGTTTGCTCTGAAAACAACGTGATCCGCAAAAACACCGGAATGTATTGCGGAAGAGGGTTGGAGAGGGGGGATGAGCACAGAAGACAGAAGACTGGGAGGATGGAAAAGGGACATTAGCGTGCCGTCGAATGTTTCTGACATTCTGACAACGTTCAACTCCTATCTTTTTGTCGAGTATCAGCGGTAAAAGCCGTCGATAATGGATCCTCATTAAATAAAACGGAAAGCGAGGGAGAAAGTGGCGTGTCGTAGCATCTAATGGTTTCGCAAGCTTGGACTTTCGTGATAACGAAGACACAGGGGTGGCTCGCGGATAATTGGCGGAGAGACAGGGTTGCTGGGGAGTTGGTACGATTTTTTCGTCGATTAATAGTAATTAATACATAAGGAAATGGAAGTGAATTTGCTGAACTGTTAAAAATTGAAAATAAAAATATTAATTTACACTACATCGTTCTCGAGCTGAAAAACGGAAACAACTCATAATGCTAGATACACAAGAATTCAGTTTACCTAAAGAGAATCAAACTACCTTCTAACAGAACAAAAATGGCACCGTATACAAGCACTCGACGCTCGCGGACAGGGAAGCCCAACGATGACAGGTTACATCTGCGACGCCAACCAAATTTTTTCAATACGTTTATTATTTTTTAAACAATAATTTTAACCGCTCGTTTATTTCAATCGTTTTACATACGTGGATAGTTGTGTAGAGTGTAGACGTTAGCTTACAAATAGGTTAGTTTAGTTTTTTTTTCTTTATCCATACATAACGTGTGTATGCGTGTGTGTGTGTTTGCGTGTGTTTATGTACGTGTTCACGTGTAGGTTCGCAATTGTTGTATACATACGTGTACGTGTTCGCGTGGGCGCTCCTGTCCTATGTTCACGCACGTATGTTTATGTATATGTACGTATGGATGTATGTGTATATTATATATATATGTATGTATAAGTATGTATGTATGTTTATGTACGTATGCGTCGTCTTGTGTGTTCGCTCTTCAGAGTAATGGCTGCCTTCGTTTAATTAGGTAATTAATATATTACACATAGCGTCTCTGCTTCCGTTTCTCTTCTCCGCAAAACTCATCATCCCCCTCCTCCTCCCTTCGTCGTCGTTAAACGATCTCACGTTCCCGGCTCCTAAACCACATCCCCTCCCCCGTTAGTCCTCTATCGGTGCTCGTCGGTAACGTAATCGCTTGAGGAATTATAGACGGATTTAAGTGCCATTTGCCCTTCCTTTGAGGCGACTGGAAACGAGATAGCGAGCGTACGACAATCGAGCCGCGTCACGTGAAAATGACGTTCGTTTATGTACAGACCGCTGCTGGCGCGCCCTCGCGAGCCTCGATCGTTTGGAAGGGGCCCAGAATGATGCCGGACGGATCTCCTGGTGAAATTTATCGAGATAGGGTTCGACAAAGACGGGTGTTCCGAGGGTTGAGAGTTTAGTTACCGTAGAAAAATTGGTTGAGACTTCAGGGTAGAAAAGATGCTCGAGGCTCTAGTCTAGAGGCTTTTGGGGATTGATAGGATCAGGTCTTGACAAAGACAGGTGTTCAAGTGGCTTTTCCTAGATTCACAGATCAGAACTATGATAAAAGATCTATTACCTATATTTATTCTTATCGAAAGAGCTGAAATATAGGAAAAAGATGACCTGATTACTAGGTAGATTGAAGTGCTGGTCTGAATTTATTCCTTGCAGAATAGGATGAAAGATATCGAATGTTGACGCAAGGGGTTAGAGTGCAAGAAGGTGACCCAGTCACCAGGAAGATTTAAGGTAGCAAAGTACCCATGTTGAAGAAGGTAGAGGTGGAGAATCGTGTACAAAGTCCAGCTATTTTCACAGTGAAATTGACTATCAAATGCGACGAGTTATTATCGGGAAATGAGTGTACCGTCAGCCTCATATATTGGGGAGTTTGGAAACCATAGGCAGTGTTACTTTCAACACAGTGTTTTCTCTACATTCAGGAATGAGTACTACGGCGAAAGATATATCATGTCTTAAATGAAGGAGTTGAATTGCAAAAAGAGATCAAACCCGAGAAGAAGACCTGGTCACTAAGGAGACCCAAACAGGTCCCAGAAAGATTGCACTATTACAAAACATTCGCTCTATAGAAAATACTAAAGATTGCAAAGTCCTGATCGCATCTTCACAACTTCAAAAAAATCATCAAAGGCATATTTATGAATCAAGACAGAAGCTGATCTACCGATTGCAACTGAATAACCCGAGTACCTACGACATTCTTGCAACAATCCCCAAACAACGAATCCCAGCCTGAACATCTTCCTGTCTCAGCTCACCACCGCGTTTAGGTCAACGATACCACCTTTAACCTTCCACTTTTGAAAACCAAATCGCCAAATGATCCGTCCAGCCTACCTGGCGTCTCGACCTGTCCACTAGGCACTACTGTCGCTGAGTGTGATGTACAAAGGGATTCGTAAAAGTTACTGTACAGTCTATCGTATGCTTCTGTGGGCTTCGGAGGCTCGCGACGGTCGCCAAAGGGGGTGGTAAATGATTGCCCTGGGCGTTCACCGACGGAGACGCTGCTCGATCGACGTCCCTGCTCACAGCGCGCCCCTCGCGTCATCAACGATCGTTCCCGATTGATAACTGAGGGACGAGGTGACAGGAAAGACCCCGAAAAAATGGTATGGCGCGACACACGGTGGGCAGGTGACACTCGTTATTTTTTTCTGAGACACAGCAGACACAGACGCACGAGAAACAGACAACAGACAGTCAGACATACAGACAGACAGACAGACAGACAGACATACATACAGACAGACAGACAGACGGACAGACAGACAGATAGACAAACAGATAGACAGAGAGATCGGCATTTTAACAACGTAGAGACTCTCGGTGATTCGTTGTTGTTTTATTTAAAACAAATTCATCTCGTCTCCTCCTCCCCTCCACCCGAAGGGTTGAGGCACCACTCACCCAGCAACACGTTCAATCCGTGATTACGATTACCCCTAGTAAATCGACGAACACGATTAACGATCGGACGCGCATTAGCTCCGAGATTTATTAAATCGCTGATTCGTGACTGATCGCGAGGTTCGCGAAGTCGAGCAGGTGTCGATTACCATCGGACAATTGTTTAATGATCGTTACAAAATGTAATCGCGAAAGTAATCGCCGCCCGGCTCCATTTTCACTCGAAGCTTTATTCACTCGCCAGACCGTGAATGAGTGATAATAATAATTTAACGGTGGAGGTGGTAATAGCAGCAGCGATAAATAATCGTAAATGGTCGCGATAACAATAATGGGCAAGTACAAGTGGTAATGATAATATTAATTGCGATGAAGGATCGTCGTGAACGAGTACGATAATCGCAAACGAACGCCCCCGCGGGTTAGTTCGGGGCCACCCTTGTAGCGTTCCACCCCTCCACACTCTTCCCCCGCTGCTCATTGTATGTACATATGTATATTAATAATCGTCTCGCTTCTTTTGTACAACGCCGACTGTGAAACGCCGCGACGTAAAAGGTTACGGTAGCGATGGACTTTTTTTTTCTTTTTTTTTTTTGAAGACATTGGTAAACTATTTTACTCGTTGGGGTGAATATCGTCCATTTTTCGTGAACAACCCCTTCACGAATGCAGGGAAGTTTAGTCTGTGCTTGCAAAATAGGTGGGAGTCCAATGAGAAATTAAATTTAAGGTGGTCATTATTAAAATAATTGTTTCGGAAATATTATTACATATAGTATTAAGATTTATATTTTAATGATAGTATGTACAATAATTTATTTGAGCTTTCAGAATTCTAAATAAGTTGTCATTTAGGATTTTATAAAATTTGTTTCTCAACTCACGAGCACCAATTGCAATTTGAATTTCAAATACGAACAGATTTAAATACAATTTATATCATTAACCAATGTGTTAAAAAATCCAATACACATGCATTTTGCTGTGCTAAATTTAACAAGATATTTATCTCAAGGTAACCATTTTTGGTTTAACGAAAGTGTAGAAGAAACAGAGTTGTAAAAACAGCAAAGGTTTCATTTGAAAACACTCTGTCCGCGATTAAGCCGTGAAAATTGAATTCGAAAGTTTCCAACGACAGGGTCGAACGGATAAACGACGACCGATTGGCCCCGTTTTCCCAGACGGACCTCGAGCATTCTTTCTCGCGAGAGAATCATAATTTCGATCGACCGATGGCGGACGAATCCCTAACGGGAACGTGCGAAAAATCGAGCGACTATGAATTCTAAATGGGGCCGACTGATTCAGCTGGGAAACGCGGTCCTCCGCCGTTGATCAGCCTGAACCGTGCATCGTTTCCCCTCGATATTGTTTCGGGAGGGTGGGCTATACTTTCTGTTCAACTCTCCAGGTATTAGAAAGTTATCGAAAATATAGGCACAAGTGTTTGAAATTTTCTCTTGTGGAAAATGATACATTGATACAGAAAGAATACTGTCTAAAAATTTAAAGAGTATACACTTTCGTTTATCGGAAGACAATAGATCTATACTCTTCAATCATTGGTGTTCGTCAATATCGAGGGGTTAGGGGATAACACATTTTACTTGAACTATAGCACAAGTTTAGTTCACTTGGTGTATATTAATGCTTCAACGCATGATTATTAATATTTCTGAATCTGTTTCTAACCAAAACGAATATTA